TAAACCAGCAAACGGAAGTCACATCTGTCTCTGCCTGTGCCTGTCCTCAGTAGACACCACGATCTTGTTCAGTGTTTGTCTCTGGCCAGAATGTGATTCTTGAACTCTGTGAACGGCTCTATTCCCAGTACTGAGAACTGGCTTATGTGGTAAAGTTCCAGGCCAATAAAAGACCCTGTTTTAAGCAAAAGGCAGATATGGGTGCTGCAGAAGTGGCTTGGCAGGTAAAAGTCCTTATTGCTCTTCTAGAGGACCTGAATTCAGTTCCCAGCACCCACATGAAGCAGTCCTCTAACTCCAGTTCTAGGAGATCCAACACCTCTGGCTTTCAAGGAACCCTGCACTAATGTACACATACCTATAAACAGACATGTACTCATATATAATTAAAAGTAAAACAAAACTACAGAGTAGAAGGCACCTTCAGATCAACATCCAAGGCTATTTTCTGATCTCCACATATATTCCCAGTTCTAACATACACGTATACAAATGCACACATACTCCTAAACATGTGTGCATGTGCATGAACACACACACACACACACACACACACACACACACACACACACACACACTGCAGCAAGTTTGACACAATAGCCATGCTCACAGAAGGCCTTAGCTTTGCACTGCCTAAACCTGGAAGAATGTTCCTTTGGCCTCGCTTAGCATTTGCCTTAGAATTCCACAGACAGCAGACTTTCCCCCAGCTCTCCCTTCCAAATTTCTTATTAGGTCTTGAATTTTTTTGAGCAGATTAAAGGATTCCTATGAAGATTTTATACTTAAACTTTGCAGGGAAAAATTCCCTGTCTCTGTAACTATCATTGGGACAGATTAGAAATAATTTGAAGCTGAATTGAATTTGCTATTTTGTGAGCTTCTCTTATCTACCAGGACTAATAGCAGACACTTCCCTCCCTACAAGGGCTGGGAGGAAGCCTTATTATCTGCCTTTCACAGAGTGGAAACTGAGGTCAGATAGGCCAAAAGGCTTAGACACGACTATTTCATCAATGCAGCTTGAATCAATAGAGGTGTTCTGTATCCCACAATGAATTCAGAAGCACAGAAATTGTGCAGACAGTGACATTGCAGTGTGGTAGAAATGGCTTATGCACAGCCTTGGAATCAGAAGCACCTGGGCTAGAATTTAACTTTTACTTAGAGGCTGCCTGACTGACCTTGAATCTTTCCTTCACCTCGTGGAGATGTGCCATAATTTTCCCTGAATGATAGGCAATTGTAGTCCTGAGAGATGGAAAGGCCCCGGTGGGCATCAGAGCCTCTTTGCCCCACTGCTCTCTGGACCCAACACTTGATGCAGACACTCCAGACATGAATTCAGTCCCTGGAACCCACTGTAGAAGAGGAGTGGCAGCTCTGCAAACTGTCCTCTAACTACACACATGCCATAGAACATGCACACTCATACATACACACATCACAAGCACATGCAATAGTAAATAGCTTTACAAAAATGTGCAAAGCCTTTAACAAGTTTCCTTGGACTTCTCCAGATGCACCAGAGCAGACAAACAAAGACAGATAAGAAAGAAAGAGGCACTGAGGGAGAGAAGAGAAGGGAGAGAAAAAGAAAGTGTGCTATTTGTCTAACCTGAGTCCCTTTGCAGGTACTTTGATACAGTGCAAAGGTGTTTAAGAGTGTTAGGAAAGACTGAGATCTTATGTTAAAGCCAGGATCTCTGCATGGTGCTGCTGGAATATCACAGGGATTCTGAAGAGTCCAGCTCAAGCCTCTCCCCATGAAGGATGAGTGTCGCTGGCCAGTGGAAGCTATTCTCTATTTCAAGGTGTCAGAGACTATATTGGAAGTAGATGCCAGACTTTGCTAAATGCTGCTCAGGTCCCTAAATGAAGTTGTTTATTTAATTTTCTTTTCTGGTTTATGAAGATAGAGAGTTGAAACTGTGGGTTTTCTGATGTTAAACCAGCCTTGTCATCCACAGACGAGCCCTGTTCAGCTGACACTGTATTTCCTATTAGGTAGCGAAGGCTAAACTCCTGCTTCAGACTTATTAAAGCTGGGGTTGGAGGTGGGGACAGTGATGTTTTGCTGTTGCCGTTTGAAGGAAAATGGCCCCGGGGCTCATAGGAAGTGGCACTATTAGGCAGTGCGTGACCTTGCTGAAGTTGGTGTGGCCTTGTTGAAGAAAGTGTGTCACTGGGGGTGGACTTTGTGGTCTCAGATGCTCAAACCAGGCCCATTGTGGCACTCTCTTCCTACTGCCTGCCAATCAGGATGTAGAACTCTCAGCTACCTCTCCAGCACCATATCTGCCTCCACACCATCATGCTTCCTGTGATGACAATAAACTAAACCTCTGAACTGTAAGCTAGCCCCAATTAAATGTTTATCTTTATAAGAGTTACTATGGTCATGGTATCTCATCACAGCAATAAAATCATAATTAAGACGTTAATTGCTTTGTGTGTTTTTTTCCTCCATAATCTGCTTGCTTTATTCCTTCTCCTGTTATTACTGCTGTATTATCATCACCACTGTGTGTAGCGGCTGGGAGAGCACATATGACACAGAGCGCACATGAAGGCCAGTTCTCACCTCCCACCTTCATGAGGGTCACAAGCATTGAACCCTGCTCCTCAGGCGTGCATGGCAAGCATCTTTACCCTTGGGGGCCTCATTCCTCCTTTCACAGTTATCCTAAAGTCATTTGCACAGATTTCCTGTTTCTCCTTAAAAAGTTTTCTCTTTGGAAAGGTTTTAACAAGAACTTCCTTCCTATCTCATTCTTTGCATAAAGCTGTTCATAATGCACTTCCCTTATCCTCATCTCAGCAAAGCCTGTGCAGAAGCTCCCTGCCTCGGTCCTGATACTGGTAATTTACATAATTACTTTTTAATCAATCTGGCTGCAAGTCGATAGATTTCACTGGCTTTCTCTAAGAACAACCTTCTGGTTAGTTTGTCTATCTTAGGGATTTTTGTTTGTTTCTCAGTTCATTGATGTCTGCTTGATTTTTTAATATTTCCTTTCTGCTTGCTTTGGGTTTAATTTTCCAACTCTTTCCCTAAGTTCCTAAAGTTCAAGGCCCTGTGAGGCTCCCGTGGATGTATCTGTGGCTCCTATGCCTGCCAGCTGCAGCCTCAAGAGACATGATGTTTACAAGGAGGGCAAGTACCTTCCAAAGCCAATGTGCAAAGGGCAAAAAGCTCACCACCCTGACTAGCTTTTTTGGCTTTGTCAAGATTTCAGAGTTCCACCAAGCCACATACAAGTGTGAAGAGGAAAGGAGGCCTGTTTTAGTGCCAGAAGGCAGAGCATAGGAAGGGCTATGGTGGTGCGCACCAGGCCTCTGCCTCTCCTATGGCTGCTCTGCCACGCCCCACATCTCCGCCTGATCCAGCTATGTCTGTGGGAAGACTGGCACAATCCAACTTGGGTCCCCAGTGTTCAGTCAGCACTATAGAATGCCAGCCTCTCAGAGGGCTCTCATCAGAACCCTGGTCACATTGGGTCATACTGGGCCATAGCAGATCACATGTGATTCAAAGGGTAGCTAGTAGCCACAACGATAGAAAGGAAGGCTAGACAATAAAAGCCAGCACCAATCTGAGCCAAGACTAGATACCGAGGAACTCTGGCAAAGCCCACAGCCCTGCTTCCTCCAGAGTGGCTCCTGGGCTAGCAGCTGCCACCCAGTCTCGTTTGCCCTCACCTCCCTTTTCTTTAGCTACAAAAATGAAGTGTCAGCGTCTTACTTATTCCCATGCCTCCCAGCAAGCCCACATGGGAACATTATTATTCCAGGTTCTCAGATGGGACTCTGAGAGGCAGACAGGCCTGGCTTACATAATTAGTGTGGTAGAGATATACTTCCAGGACCTCAGGCATGCTGGCTAAGCACTCTACCACTGAGCTGCAGCCTTGACCCTAGAAACACTGGCGCTGATGTCCACCCATCAAACACAGCATCTATTTCCAGCCATCATGTCCCTTCACTACATGCTGATAAGCAGTTCTGAGCATGAACACAATTCCTGCAGCCATCTGTATCCTTTAGAGAAACCTGGTCCAAGAAAGCACTTGGTGGCCCCATCAGCCATGACAATACAGGTTGATGATTTTACAGGTTTCACACAATTCCAATTAAATTACATCATTCCTGCTTCAGGGATGCTCAGATGCTCCACAGCCAGGTCTCAAGCCACTGGCTTCCCCATTCCTCAGAGGAGCCCACTTCTCCACAGAACACAGACACCCTTCCACCATGTACCAAGGTTAGTCAGGACAGCTCACAGTGCAGCTCTCCCCAACCCACCTGGATATTCAGGACAAGCTCCTCTGGCAGCCCTGTCAGTCAATGCCCACTCACACTTTGGCATGGGGATAGCAATCAGCACACCCATCGTGTGGCCATAAGTATACTCACTTAGACAGTGACTCTGCAGCCCAGGCAGAGCTCAGAGCCCTACAGCACCCCACTGTGCACTTTGCCCCTGGGGAGAGTCTGAACTGGCATCTGGACTCCTAGTCCCACCCTCCATATAAGCAGCAAACTCTGCTCCTGCTGGTCCTTGTGTCCTGAGCATCCTGGCTTTGTACAGAGAGCTCCAGGAGCTGTGGACTCACAGACCAGCATCTGCAAGAGTCGCCAAATGCTTAAGAAAGATGCCATGATGTGAATATCCAAACTGAGAAGAATTGGGTCATGAGTATCTTCCTCAAAGGAAAGGGACAAGGAGTTGTCTCCTCCCCCTCACTGTCCTCCCTAGCATGCCTGACTCCACAGTCTCTGTGTTACAGCAAAACAAGAGCTTGCATCACCAAAGTGCAAGACACATGAGCAGCCTGGAAACTGCTTTCTAGAAATTTCACAAGACATAAAACACGAGAAACCATTTTCAACCACACACCTCCATCTCCTTCAGAAAAGTACTTGAAATGCTTAGGCGGAAAAGGCTCTGGCAGTACCAAGAGAGTCCCAGCAGCCTGGGCCTCCACCAGTGGACTAACCTTGAGGTGGCCAAGGTCCCCCGACTTGCTGCCCTCAGAAGGGTTTGTGGGTCGGCTTTCCACTCGGGGTCTGACGACCTGGCGGAAAGGACTGGACAGAGGAAAGCCGCTCACACTGACTCCATCTAGGAAGGAAGACAGAGTCCCAAGTAAAATTAACAATCTATTTTATGAGACAGACTTTATTTTGTTTTTCCAGTAGTAACATGGCATTCTTTACTCTCTAAACTACAAAGTGGTAGAGTCTTTCCTGGGCTTTCATCCACTACCAACAACACCCCTCAGCAGGTAGTTTCTTTCTAGGAAGTAGGTGTGGGGAAAGTGGGCTTTCATGGAAAACAGATGACCCAGAAGTTCCAGCAGAGCTCTCAAGGACTGACACACCCAGTAAAGGGCAGACCAAAGGCGAAGCAGCTCTCCCAGGCATTGGAGAGCAGCTGCCAATCAGACCAGTCACCACAAAGGGACTAGAAGACGCTACCAAAACACACTGCTTGCCATGCTCCATCCTGGCCCCAACTTTTCACTCTGGTGACAACCATCACTGGAGTCCAATATCCCCAAATCAGTGCCTCAGATCAGATACTACCCCTTCCCTTACACAATTCCTCCTCTGGGTATACTAACTGAAAGCAATCTGACTCCCGGTGCCTTCTCTAGACTGAGATCTGTGCCTACTGTACACTACCCTGTACCCAGGGAAGAGGCTGAGCACCGGGACCATCAAGGAATATCAGGTACTGGGAAAGAGAGAAAAGACACATATGCAATGGCTTGGAGCTGGAAAACTCTGGAACATGGCTACTTTGTACGAGTGTGCACACATACACACACACACACACACACACACACACACATTTACATGTGGAATTTGTCTAGAAACCTCAAAAATCAATAATCTTAAAGTTCAGGGCCCCTTCACAAGTGGAAGGGTTGTGATCTCTAATCCAATGGAAGCATCACACAGGGACAGGGTGTTTCCATCTCTGCTTGGGGCAGAAGCTTGAGCAAAAGCAAAGCCAGAGAGGGGACAGGGCAGCTGCTGAAGTGAAAGAGACGAGCTGGGAAAAGATGTCACAGAGCACACACTGAGATGGAACTCCCTCCAGTGTGGGAGCGGGAGAAGGACAGAAAACGATATTCAATCATCCCACCTGTGTTTATGCCAACACAGGCAATTCCAAATAGGATGCAGAACAGATTTGTCTGACAGTTACTAGGAAGACAAGACCGAAAATTCACACAGATAAAGGCAGCCTACTAGGACCAATGAGTTTAGGATAGAGGGCATACAAGAATGGTTTGAGTCATGAATAAAGTAAGCTGTGGTGAGAAATTCACAGTTACAGCTTATAGTGCTCAATCTTTCCATTAGGGGAATCTCTGTGGGCAATTCAGGATGCAATCCTGCATGCCGAAATAATGCTTCTCTTGAATTCAACTACAATATCACAATCATCAAGACACCTGGGAAATGACAGCTGAAAGCAGGCATTAACAGTGGAGAAAAAGCAACTACACCGGCCACACCAGCAAAGCCAGCCTGCAAAGATCACGGCATTCCCCAGAACTGTCAAGGCGTGGGGCTGGCTGCAGACAGGTGGGCCTACAAGACAGGGAACAAGGAGAGAAAGGACACCATCCATCTGCTGAACACTGGACTGCACAGAAGCTTCTTGGAGACATTCTCCTGTACTTCTCCTATCCTTGACTCCACAACTCCACACTCTCCAACCTTTGGACTCCAGAATTTATACCAGTGTCCTCCAAGGTTCCACCTCACACTGATCCATGTTCCCAGAGTCTCTAGCTTGTAGGCAGCCTATTGCAAGACTTCCTGCCCTCTCTCTACAGGCAAACAAGCCGGTTCCTCTCATGAGCTCCCTCTTGTTCATTTATGGACATACCCATGTACCCAGCAGCAGCCCCACTTCTCTGATAAATCCTATCAGATCTGATCATGGATCATGGTGTCTCTGAACTGGCAATGGTGCATGGAACATTGTTGTAGTGATTCTAAAGAGGTGAGAGACTTCCTCAGGGTTATACAGCCCATCAACACATAGCTAAAATCAGAACTCAGAACCATCGGCCACACTGAGACAAAAAAAAAAAAAAAGAGCTCACTAGCCAAGAGATCCAAGCTATACACCAAGCCCCTACCAAATCTATGGTAAAGATCCCCAAATGGCTTAGCAACCAACACCAGTGATGGTATGCTTTTTTTAATGCTTCCAGAAAGGGGTCAGGAGGGAATAAATGAATAAGGCTGAAAGAGGAATCTAAAATAAACTTGAATAAAATGTAACCAAAATAAAATATACTTGCAAAGGTAAAAGAGGGCAATGGTCTCTCATGGGAGTCTGTTAGTATAGGCTGTTCCAGGCAGAATATTTTTCAAAGATGCTTTCTCATGTATTCATAAAATCCATGGATGCCAAAAAGTCCATCTGGTTATCATAAAATATGTTCAAGAAAACCAAAGCAGTAGAAGTAGTTGGCTAAGAAAATGAGCCAACACTCTTCATTTCCATAGAGGAAGCTGCATGCTCATTCATTCAGAAACTGCAATGCATTTAGAAAAATAAAAATAGCCTACAGGGACAGTGGACTTCCAGTGGCTTTCCGTCTCCTGGGTGGACCAGCGATCATAGCAGACCTGAGGCCTTCTGCCTTACTCATACCTCTGGAGGCCTCCCATCGTCCATACCAGCACATGGAGGGCTTCAGAGTCCCCAGACTGCCCTACAGTGGTAGCTTTGAGTGCAGGAGCTACTGATATGGATGAGTAAGTGGTCATCTTTCCACAGGACAGAGGGAATGAGTTAGCTCCAGGCTTCCAATACAAGAGTATTTCTAACCCCTACTAAATCACTTGATAGAGTAAGATGTCAAGCAGAAGTGACGGCTCCCTTGATAGTGGAACGGGGCTGAGAGGGATGGGGTAAGACATGCTCAAGTCTCTGGGACGGGCAGATGTGGCCAGCGGTGAGCTCGCCCTCCCCCTTCTTCTGCACGCTATCACTGCACAGGCCTGTGTCTGCAGCATGGGGTTCGGCAGAGGCACTGGCGGCCTCTGCTTCCCATGGGCTAGTACCCTCTTGCCACCCTTCTGAGGGATGGGGGGGGTAGGCTGCTGTGGTAAGTGCCATCAGCACAGTCTTCATCCAGGGCTGTATGGAAATCACATTTCGTTGTATGTTCCTCACAATTGAAGCCTGAGGCTTTGGAGTTAGCCACTGTGGCCTGGAAACTGCTTTTACTTGTGGGCCATTGCTCTGCGCTCTGCGGTACTCTCTTGCATAAGTGCCCCCTCCCCTGATGCCATCCCCTGACATCACAACGGCTGTTCCACATCTCTGCCCTGGTCTGCTATCCCCTTTGGAAAATAAACATGGATTTTTGGAGTTCTCAGTCTTATTTTTTAAAGAACGGTGACTTGTGCCTAAGCACCCAGAAGCTGGAGGCAGCATGCCTGCTGTCTTAATACACAAGTATTTCTTTCTGTCTTTGCAATTCCTAGATGCCTGAGTTTTTCCACAAACATGTTTTTTTTGGGGGGGGGTTAAGAAGAAAGTCTGAGATTTTGTTGAAACTTGGACTTTTTAAGTTAGAGAGCATGAGGACAGAGTGAAATAATACTTATCAGTGCCCAGCATACTTGCCAGACTTGCAGTTCAGGCATTTTCTGCCTGTTCTCACAGGGTCCTCATTTGTGGTCAGAACAGATGATACTTGTCGTACTGAACAGCCCTGCACCAGCACAGTCCTCTGGGAATCTGCCTGGATGCACTCTGGGTCTTTCTCCCGATGCAATCTGTGCAGATGGTGAGGGCAAGCCCAGGACCTTGTCTCTCAACTCCCAGTTCTCGTCTGTCTGCAGCTACCTGGGTGGGCCTTCCTCACTCAGCACTCATCCCCTCGGGCTCCTGCCTCCCATTCCTTTGTTTCACTTGAAAGAGTCCTGCCGCCTCCCTGCGCCATCAGAAGCAGGGATTCCCCAGGGCTCCATGGGAAGTTTTCTACTTTGTTCCAAGCTGCCATCTGCCTTCAGGGACCAGACACATTCGTACCCAGTTCCTAGTCCTGTGGACTTTGGTTCTATGGGGAGGTGACTGAGTGCCTATTCCCTGCCTGGGTTTCCATGGCACCATGCTGCTTCCATCCTTGTGGGTTTCTCTGCCTTATTTCATCCACAGCCAGTGCAGGCTGCTGCCTTCTCCCCAGGCAGTTTTACTCCTTCTTGGTTCCTTCTCTTCTCTGTCCACTGAGCCCCATGTAGAAGGCCTCCAGGGATGAGAGATGCTATGCCTGCAGCCACAGCCCCTTCACGATCTGACTGGCCCATCTAGGCCTTAAGTGCTTCACTAAAGACTTTACATTTTCATTCTCTGTTGCCAACCTTTTTCCATATTTGAGCTGAAACTGGGACTTTATACCTTAGATTTTAATTCTGGACTATGATTACTTTCGGGTTGTGTTGGCCATTGCATATTGCCTTTGTTTTGTATTCAGTGGGGTTGTCTGCTTTTGCTCCAAAGGAACAAAGATAATGTGCTGGACAGTCTGCCCAGAGTTATATTTAGCTGTGCCACCTACCTGCCTTCTGACTCACAGTCATTTCACAGCACTACAGCATAGCCACAGGAAAGGTCAGCCCGCCGCTGGCTCCCTGGGGTTCACAGGAGAACATCTCTGCAGATGTGGACAGCCCCACACCACCCACCACAGCTGACCCAGAGGTCTGTTTAATAACCTGTGAAGTGCATGTACCGTTAGGTCCCCTGTTTGGCCAGGTGTGGGATGGTTGACTTTGCTCCATGATTTAAATTCCGGTTGGAAAATAACTCCCTAAGCCACCAGGACAGGGATTCAAGCATTTGTCATTCATCAGCATCAGGTACTTGTACCACAGGCAACAAAAGCCTGTCTGTGGACCAGTGATCTCCCTGTGCTCATCATTCTCACCAGCCATGCTGTGGTGGCTCACCAAGAGACAGCTGCAGGCTGGGGATGGTATTAGTGAAGGCACTATAGGTGCTTCTGTCCAAACAAAAAGAATGGTGTCTGGGAAAGTACGGTTGCTTGACTGCTAGTTCAGGTGCAGATTGGCCAAACATTCCCC